TGGAGAACAGACGCCGTTTTGAGCCGCACCTCCATGGTGAGCAGACGCTCAGGTTTGGTGAAGCATTTCCTCTATCACCGTACTATGGTTACCGCGCCAGTGTTCGCGTCGCACCTCTTCACTTTGCTATTGCCGGACTGGCAACATTGCCCAGGCTACGCCAACCAGCTGTGTCCATGTTTCAGCTGGTAGTCTTTTGTTATCATATGACTCGAGGAGGCGTGAAGTAGGAACTTGTGAGGACCAGGGCTAGGTATTCCGCTCCTTCCAGGTTGTCAACTCACCATTTTGTAGGCACCAAACCGATTTGTACCTTCCTTAAAAGTTGTCCTAGCGCGCTTGTCTAATATCTATATACAATCTTCACACTGCCGTACTCTAACAGAACTATCAACTCTATGCTTTCATCTACTCCATCTATCGTATAAAAATTACCACTACAGTCTGTTATTTGAAATTAGCATCTTCAACTTTGTAAATCGTTGACTTCACGTAGAAGTAATACTAAAAACATATAGTCAAAGTGCATGAAAATGTGTTCATTTTACATATTCCACATTTTATATATTATGGTTATGCGGTGAACACATTTTCCAGATCATTTTATTTTCGAACGGGTTTGAACAAAACATCGTTTGATTCTATCACATTTACTTAGACACGTAAATTTCTTCTAAATTTATTTACCTTTCGATAAATTCTAAATATTCTTACCTTTCAATTTCAATATACGTATCGATACGTATAATTTGATAAAGAGTCACAAATATTGATATATTGAGCAGTTCCAGGCCAAATAGAAGAAAACAAAACTTTTTGACTTGACCGATTTGCATGAAACTTTTCATAATTGTTTGTTTGTGCAAAAATTCGACCATTTTTAATATGGCGTATTTGACACTTTTCATTAAATCACATGAACACGTTACTTCTAATCGAAATGACGGCTGAGATAAATTTTTAGGGAAAAATAAACACTGGAAATTTTGATTTACTAATATTCAGTTGAAATACCTAAAAAAGTGTTAAAAACTTAAATAACTCAAAATGTCCTTGTTCAATATTCATAATAATAAAATAAACCTTATAAAAAATGTAAAATATATTATTGGACACTTAAACATTGAAAAATAAAATCGTTGAACAAGAACTTTTGGTCAAATTTATGAACTTTTTCTGAGCATTATTTTAGTAATTTTTGCACAATAAGTGATTAGAAAAGTCTAAAATATTGCATTCTATGCAAAAATTACACAAAAAAGCGCACTAACGAAAAAAAAAAACAAATTCCAAAAGTTATAATTTTACGAGTTTTGTCAATTTTTTTATGTCTAAGTTTTTAAATATTTCAAAAGCTTACATTTTCCATTAGCTTTAAAAATGTAGATATAAATACTGAACAAGGATTTTGAGATATTTAATTTTGGCATCATTTCTTAAAATTACAAAAAAAAATCACCGTTTAAATTGTTTCTAGAAAGACTTTATTTCTCTTTACTACTTTGTCTCAAACTTCATTTAATTATAAGTGGCGTTTTCATGCTACGATATTGTTAAATGTCAAATTCGCCATTCTGAAAAAAAATTAAACATTCTAAATAGCCGGATTTTACCAGAAATGGGAATGATTGCCCATAATAAACAATTATGAAAAGTTTCATGCAAATCGGAGTCTGATCGATTCGTCATTTGGCGTATAACTGCTCTATTGTATGTTTTGTGTATTTTACACCAGATTGTAAGACTTATTATGAAATACTCTTCCAAAACGCCGAAGAAATAGTATCTATATTTCCTCCTGAATATAAAATTCATATTAATGGCGATTTCAATCAATGCAAGGCTGATTTCATTTTCGATTCAGAAAATGAGAGTATTCTGCTCCCAATCATGAAATGGTGAAAATGAAACATTGCAGTTTATTTTTGAGAAAATTGCTTTCTTAGGCTAAACCAAATAAATAATGTAAAAAATCAGCAGAATTGCTTACTGGATTTTTACTAACAAATACGCATGAAGATTTCTGTGTGAGTGAATCTGTTTCTCCATTATGGAAAAATGAAGTGTTTCACACAGTAAATGAATATTATATATTTTTGCAAGAAAGCCATCTGTGACTACGAAAATGTCTCTGACTACAAAAATGCTAATCATGACAATATTAAGTATAAATTGAATAGAACCAATTGCCAATCGATTTTGAGAAATCAAGAAAATGTTGATTGTGCAGTAGACGCTTTTTACAAAATTTTATTGGAAATAATACAAGGTGAAATTCCTTTTAGTAGAAGACGACGTAGTTATTGCTCCAAAAATCCGGTTTGGTTCAATAAGCAAATCATTAATTGAAATTTCGGAATCAAAAGGATCTCAAAATATATATAAAATACAAGAATCAGGGTAATTTGGAAAAGTATTTGTATATTTGTGACCACCTAAATTTCTCTGTTTTTTCTGCAATTAATGAGTATATCATAAAAACTTCAAATGAAATTAAATCATGTTCAAGAAAATACGTTAAAACTAAAATTAATTCGTGCAACTTGCCATGAAAAATGACTTTGGACGAAAAAGTTGGCAATAATTCACAAGATATTAGTAATCTTTTTGCCTCGTTTTTTCAAGAGACGTCCTCCAATTTCTCGGATAATGATCGTGAATATGAATATTTTTCATACTTTCCTGACTTTTCGAGCAATGTTGGTGTTAGTAACATTTATGTTCAATATATTTTGACAGGTCTAAGAGATTTGGATGCCACTAAAGGCTCAGACCAGATGGAATCCCGCCAACTTTTAAGACGTTTTAAAGGTCGTTCAACCACAACGAACCTCTCGGAATTTGTTGATGACTCATTAACTGCAATGCACATAGGAAACCAAATAGAATCTCTTACTGACTGCGTTCGATAGACTTAAAATTCCAATGTTGATTTGAAAATAAGAAAAAATGGGAATTGAGATGAAACTTCTCACCTGGATTAAGTCATATTTAATGGACCGTCAGCAAATTGTAAGATTCAGCGAGAAAAAATCTAATTCAATTCAAGTCACGTCACGAGTTCCCCAGGGACCTCTTCTTTTCATTTTGTACGTCAACGATATCTCTCTTATTTGGACAAATCTCAGAATGCTTATTTATGCTGATGACATGAAACTATTTTTGGAGATAAGAAATGATGATGATGATAGGAATACGTTTAAGAATGAAGTTAATGGTGTTGTAAAAGTGAAGTTCGTGGTGTTGTAAAATTTAGTTTGAACTAAATGTTGAAGAATTTAATATTATTACGTACAGTAGAAAGCTAATCAAACGAGATATTCGTATTTTATTAGGTCATCAAATTGTTCTAAGATGTGATAAAATAAGAGATTTAGGAGTTATTCTAGATTCTAAATTACAATTTGTGGATCATTATAACACAATAATTCATAGAGCAGGCAATATGCTTAATTTTATAAAGCACTTTATGTTGCCTATGTGAGGTCACTATTAAAATATTGCAGTGTTGTTTGGTCACCTTATATGAGAAGGCATGATGAACGAATAGAGTCAATCCAAAAGCAGTTTTTATTATATGCACTAAATAAATTGGGATGAATAGCATTTCCTCTGCCATCTTATGAAGCCCGCTGCTTTTTAATCAACATTCAGGCATTTAAAGAGCGTCTGGATTATGCTATGGTCTCTTCCGCCAACAATACCGCTTGGCAACGCATTGACTCAGCTTATTTATTACCAAGAATTAATTTTTATGTACCTTCTCGCCAATTGCGTAATCTACATTTGTTTGCGGTAGATCGACACCGCACTAACTACGCGAAATATGGACCGATAAGTCAGATGATGTCTGTTTATAATCTACACTGTGATATGATAGACCTAAATATGCCTCCGCTAAAATTGCTCAAATATTTCCAAGCATTGCGAAATCATAGATTATAAGTTATATTGTTATTATGTAGTCTACGATTTTGATTGACGAATAAATAAATAAATACTGCTGCTAGACTTCAAATCCGTCATACGAGTTTCAATTCCGTCTAAAAACATTGGAACGCGCTTCTTTTGTTAGTGAGAAGAACGCATGCAAATATGCACATTATGCGTTTTTACAGACTTTATTTTGTAGCTTTTGAACTAAACTATCCTACCAAACAAATCGTTGATTCGTTAACGTCAAAATCATTGATACATTTGATGTTTCTGCTCGATATAACGGAAATAAGTGCATTATTCGAAGTAGATTTATACCCTATTTCCAATGTGAAAAATACATCCTGTAGTCTTGCACGTTAAGTCAATTTGGTAAACATTTGCCAACGATTTTGGTAAAAGTTCGTTCTAATGCTTATTTTCATAAACCACGTATCATAATGTTATTCCTTGTATTATTATATAAGATAATATCAATCAATCATATCATCCAAAAGCTGCATTACAAATACTTCAATCATCATTCAACAAGCTACACAGCTGTACTGAACAGCCGGTCACCTTAAAATCGCATGCCGGCCACTTTTACTCTCATCCTGCCTCTCTTTTGATGTCATTCTTAAATTCTCTCGAGAGAGCACATCGTTAAACTGCAATCGATTACTCTCTCTTTCCCTCTCAGCACCTCGCCATCGTCAACTGGTGCACCTTTTCGCTATCTCTCTCGACATACCTTAGCGCCGCTGTGCGTACACCTGACATCGAGTGGGAGTAAGCGAGAACGCGCACAAATAAACAAGTGCATCCTCGCGCGCGGGAGTACAAGTGCACCGTTTTTCGGGTTTATCTCTTCTCTCTCATTCGTTGTCGTGTGCAGCCAATAATAGCCGATCTGTTACCGGAGAGCGCTTAAAAAGAGAGGATTTGCACTGAGAGAGGCCCGTTGCACTTGAATGGATGGAGTGATTTTTCTCTGTTGTTGGCATTGTTGGTTGGTTTCAACAGCCGGCGTTCGCATCGCGCGTGACGGAGCGACGGGATGGCTCTGGCTCATCATCATCTTCATCTACTCAGTCAGTTAGTCGGTGACTGAACGTGGACACAATGAGACGCATCTAGCACAAAAGTGTTTCGGAAGGTCGTATCGCTAGAACCAGATGGACTGTTTTGCTACTCTCAGTAATATTTGTGCAGAGAAGTGCTGTTGAACGGCGACACAGCTGAGACGTCCTTTGGTGAAAAAAAAAACAAAGTTTGTGAGAGAAGGATTGAGTTAACTCGGTCATCCGTGGTGCAGTGTTGACTGGTTCGGAGAAAATAATTGAAAGCAAAGTGTTGGATTGCCCGTGTGTCTTCCGGTGTTGATTGCAGGGAAGAACGGAAGAAGTCGTAAAAGTGCTGAGCACAGAACGGAAATGGATTGTTTCTTCCGGTTTGTGGTATATATTTGAAGCCAGCGTAAGAAAAAAGTGACGGAAAGCTTGGATTGACAAAGCGTGGATGATAAATAAGGGAGAAAAATTGCTGATTCAGTGTCGATAAAAATAAATATTTATGAAAACGAGTTGATGGTTGGAACGAAGAGAATTTGAGATAAGAGCAAACGAGGAAAAGAGTCATTGAGACAAGTAACAAGTGCCAGTGAAGAATTTTGGAAGAAAAACGTTGAAGAAGTTGTTTAAAGCAGAAGGCGGTAAGAGAAGACTCGTCGTTGCAGATGAATGCCATGAATACTATTGCCAAGATGTACCCTAAACTGAGTACCGTGGAGTTGTCAGCAATTTTAATGAAAGGTAAGGATTGGTTCGTCTACTAGTTTCTGTGCGGTTGACATGTGTGTGAACAGCAGGGCTTTCTTTGATGTCGGCAGGAGTTTTACTGGTGACATTTTACCGCCAGGGTAATTGCATAATTGGGGCTGGTCTCGGTCCTTAGCGGCGCCATGGGGACCTGACCAGCAGCCGTCGCGTGCAACATGACTAATAGGAGAGACAGGTCGTTGTCGTTCGCAGCGTTCTGAAGGCAAATGCGCAGCCTACTACGACAGCTCGCGCGCTTCTCTGTGAGTTGGTTTGAAGTCCGGCCTCAGCTTCGCCCACGGAGTGTAATTGCGGCTGAGCATACGCGGTCGAGTGAGTCGTAATTATGTCATTTACTCGGTGGCGCCTTTGCGTAGTTTTAATTGGTCGCAACCGCGCTTTTGTTCAAGATTACTATGCGGCTTCGAAGACAGTTGCAAATTAATCACTAAACCGTGTATCGCACTTTGACAGGGCCTGTCTATCCCAATCAGGTTGACAGGTTACGAGCAGTTGACAAACGACGGAAAACTGGTGTCATATGCATTTCCTGCGGTTCACGATCAGTACCGAAAATAGTTTGCGACGGAACAGTTTTCAAGAAGTTTTCAAATTAATTAGCAATTCCTCTCTGGTTGCAAGCGCCAACGTCTTCTTCAAGTTCTGACGCCGCAAACTGAACGACCGGCAGACCACGTCTTGCACTCTGTTGGCGCTGGAAATAATCAAATCGTAATTAGTTCCAACAGTCAACCTGACTGGTCCGAGTCGAATCATGTTTAGACAGATGTTCGGCCCTCGGCGGATGCGCTGTTTACTCATTAAATTAGAATCTCCCTTTCATCGCCACTCTGCCTGCCTCACATTGGAGTGTGTGTTTACGACGCGCGAAGCCTTCGTGAATGGTCTTGTGATTCGTAGATTCCGATGTCATTAAATTTTGACGAGCTAAAAATATGCCGACACCGGATGCGTTTGGCTCCACAATCCGATTCTATGCCCCGCGTGCCCTCTTTGGAGCACAGGAGGATTCTTGGAAGATATCTGTGTCCGTGCCCGCGTTGATTTCTACCTTTTCCCAGAATGGCATGGTTGCGGCGCAATGGACTGGAAAGGCGGGTCGTCGGATTCGTGAAAGATGGTGTAATTATAGCTCCGATTTTATAGGAATATAAAATGAAGCGTTTGTTTTCCTTTTCCTTCTGCATTTGGACGCTGGGAGAATAAGGAAGGAAGAGCAGAAAGCAAAAAAAAATTGCCAGACGTAGTAGACATCGTGTGGGATCAACGTGAAGCTACTCCAGGTTCACGCTCCGGTGTGAAAGTTTATTAGTCGAGGCAGGAAATTTTCAGCCGGGATCAAAGTGGGCGGAGGATCGGAAAATTTTGTGGTTTATTGCTGCCGCTGCGTGCGATTCTTCTGAGAAGATACGGAAAGAAAAGAAGGATTGTGTTCTTTTTTAGTGTATGTGTGTGTTTTGAGAAGTGTTTTCGTGGCTCTTCTGGATTTAATTTAGGAGAAATTTCCACTGAAGAAAATGTAGTACCTATTTTTCATGATAAAATGTCTGAAGTACTTCTGAATTATGGACGCAAAACTATTACTACCTTTTGTATCTTCAAAGAGTGATATTCAATATTTTTCGAACTTCCTTAGCAAATTTGTTGCGTGAACAACTTTTAAACCAAATGTCATCTTATCAAGCGCTCACTTACAGCTTTTATAAATTTACATACGTTTTTTTTTATCATTTCAAAAAGTTCAAACGTGTTGAAGGTCTCGGTAGTGTTCATAAGGAGCATGAGTTTAGAAGCGTCTATTATTCATCGGACTTTATACTGCCATGGCAAAACATGATTAAATTAGCCATCTGGCAGCAAAGAGTTCACCAACGGCAAAACGCCGACAAACTTTGTAGCCACAAGTGCGACGCTCTAAATTTCAATAATCCATTTACACAAACTGACACTCGAGCATTTGGGATTTTTCCACGCTTGTCGCCATAACCCTTATCCGTAGAATCCACCGCGGCAGGGTTGCGTCCGAAAAAAAAAATTACAGCTAACGAAGAGCTACATGTCGAGAAGACAAATCGCTCACTAAAACGCACCTGTGTCTTCTTTTATTTCGTTATAAAAACAGGAGAAAACGAGACACGACCCGAACATAAAACTCACATGCTACCGCCGTTCTTCGTTGTTGAGTCACGAGGGGTAGGAAACCATTTTCGAGGATGCTTAGCTTCGAGGAGGTGGCAGGGGTGGGTTCAAACAAGACCAATCGCTCGGCAAGCAACGCAACTGCGGCCGACCGGTGGGATGAATTATTAATCCTCAGGTACCCTCCTCGGTTTAGCCATCTCGCATCCCGTTCTTTAGTTGGCACGGAGCTATCAAAACAAATCTGTCACCCCGTGGCCGTTGAATGCGAAGTAGCTTAGCGCTAGAAGCAAATAAAAACAATCCATCGCCGGCTGGGTTGATCCACGCTACCGTGTGTCAAAGTAACGCCTGCTGGGGCCAGGGGCCGCTCTAAATTGCGACGCGGCACTCCCAGATGTGCAGATGTTGGCTTGAGAATTTCTCGGAAATAATTACTCACACACTCACACCCGTTCGTGTCAGATCGATGGTACTTCCCACCTACGCGCGCGCACCTTTCGAATTCGGTCCTCAGCAGACGACGATGACGACTTCGGGTCCGATATAAATCTTGTCCGCTAAATATTTTAAGCTGTTATTTTAACAAACAAAAATTCAAAACCCCTCTCCTCACGCAACTCATGATGTGCGCCAGAAGAACTCGACGGAGCGCAATCGCGATGACAAATCACATTAGCATACCGCTTGGAAGGCGCGACAGAATTGCGCTGAGGGAGGTAGGTGAACGAAGAACTACACATAGCTATTTCTCAGATCACACATTGGACGGTGACGCCGTTACCGCCACCGATGCCGTCGGTTGCGGTAGTCGAAACCAACCACAGGGGGAGAGATTTAGATAAAAGTTTGATTTATTTGGCTGACGCCAGTGAGACGCGCGGTTGAAGGAGCTCGATTGAACAGGAATTAATCATCCTCAGTGGGGCCGACGATGTGAGTAAAGGAGCGACCTCTGGCGACACTGCCGAAGGCGACGACGCAGTCCATCCATCAGTCATCATCCCGTTTCCATTGCGGAGAACGAACGGGGCTGATTGTGTTCTGATGAAAACAAATCTGCCAGTTGCTCATTTTGACCCTCTCTCTGACACATCTTGCCCGATCAATGAGCAACAACAACAACGGTCGGCCAGGCCAGATGGATGAGTAAACAGTAAACACACAGTCAACCGAATGCCATTCCGCTAATCGACAATTAAAATTCTCCACCCTCCCCGCAAAGAGTGTTGAAGCTATTTGAGCTGATGCTACCTACGTCATCTTCCGCTTCTGACTCTGACCGAATGCTGCACCGATGAATGGCGGTGGGCAGCTCCATGATCAACGCGCAGAACGCGAGAAGCACCCAAGATTAGTGAAATGTAAACAAGCGATAAAAACATAGCAACCCGTATTATAAATGATCGAGGGGAGGTGCCGGGCATGATGGGCATGGAAACACGCATGGTGTGATCTATTTGTCTGTCCACTGCCATTCTTCTTTTTTTTTTGCGAGCACCTACACACACGTTGGGACCGCTGGCAGACGGACGTCGGATCGGATCGGGTCGGAGCATGTAGCAGGTCCTTTGAGGATTGATTATAATGATTTATACTTTTTACCACCCGCACAATACTCATTAGAGCCGCAGCAAGAGTGGTTAGGTGGTCACATGGTGTTCCAAATTTTTAAACTGTAACCATTTTGAGGGGGAATTAGAGCTGTAAAGAAAGCATTTGTTTTCTAGCACTTTAATCCCTAGGGAGCTGTTTTTTTTTTGGGTTTCTGTCTACTGTCATTGTTATTTGTCACATGGGGATAGTTGAGTGAAGACAAGTCTGAATCTTCTAAACATTTCTGCACTATTCACACGCTATGTGTTTTCAGAGCAAGCGTTTATAATTCGAGATTTGAACATTTAAAATTTGACATTTCAAAAATTTAAAATTCATATGCATATAATACATACACACTTGGTACACACTGAAATGTTTCCTGGAAAATCTCTAGATGATCTATGAAAATTTCATGACTTTCTCTTTTGTAAGCACCCTGACCAAAATCATTGCTTGAAATCCCATAAAATGTGTTCCAGTGTTTAACAGGAAAACTACGCTGTAATTCTTATCGAAATTACAGCGGAATCCTTGCTTCGGATTTTCACTTATCCATTTCCCCTCTCCCAAGAACAAAGAAAAATGAAAAGACATCCGCCATTTTAAGAACCATTGACTTCTCACCGCAAGCTTCTACTAATACAACCTAGTGTAGTATCGATTTGTTTATTAGCTATGAAAGTGTTCGTCTGACAGTGGTTTGTTTTCTGTATTTTTTTTTCAACCAGCAAAACCTACCCAAAAATGGGTTAACTATGTTGGGAGTGACAAGTTGACACATGGACAAAGTCGATCGGATTCATGTCGATGTTGTCCATTTGTCAACTTGTCACTCCCAACAAATTTTACCCATTTTTGGGTAGGTTCTGTTTTGACCGATCTGGGTGGATTCTACCCAAACTTGGGCAGTTTTGAAATAGCGTGTACTGCAAGAAGCAGTGTTGCCCTGAAAGCAGTTGATTGATCATATCAGACAGTTTTAGGCTTCTAAATCTTTTATAACTAATTTTCTCGACGCTCAACAAAGTTGTAGATTAGAAAATTTCTGCTTCAGTTTTCAATCAGCTAGCTTACCCACAAATCATTATGCTGGAAGGCAAGGACGATGATATCAACAAGTTTACTTTTCCCATAGTAATTCTCATATAAACTTCAATGGGCCGATTGAGCGGGTGGAGCAAAATCGTTATTTTGAACCACCCTATTAACTATGCTGAACTGCACTCTTCTATCTG